TAATCGCCACCATGTTTGTCGTAGGATATTCATAAGCCACAGGGGCATTGAACACTATTTCAAAACAATCAGCGCGTCCAACGACCCAACTCTAAAACTGGTGCTACAAGTTACATTTTGTACAAGTTGGGTGGGAAGAAACAGAAAGAAGAATAAGTAGACAGCAAATAAATGACACTATAAAAACATAATAAATAAATAGCTAAAAATATATGACACGATGCAACAGCGCAAAACGCTGCTTCGAAAATTTCCAGTAACAAAGCGAAGCTAGATAGGTTGGCAGCTGCTCCTGTTGCCCCATTAGTTTATTTGAACTACTTCAAAGAGTTGTTTTACCAAATTTACATTAAGATCTCAATTCTAAGCACGCAAATTTTTTGTACTTCAGGGGATGTATCCCCAAATACACTGACATGGGCAAAGGCTTCCAAAACAGAATGTTTTTGAGGAAAAACAAAAATAGAATCTTCAAGAAATGAAATTCAAATATATGCTAGATCAACATACATTAAGTAGCTGTTTGCACAATAAATAATTTAAGCAGAGAAGTAACTGATAAGAGAGTTAATCACGCGAATGTCGGCAAACTCGGACACGCAGATGAATAGCGTACACCAATTAACTATTGCGGGTTTCTTTGGTGCGCAAGCCAACAGAGACGCCTAGGTTACAGATTTAGAGGAAAGCGGCAAATACGAAAATGATGGAATATTACTCCAAGTATTATACGGAGAAAAACAAAAACAAAAACAAAAAGAAAGAAAGAAAGAAAGAAAAAAACTGCTTGGGAATATATTTTCGTTCATCGCCAATGCTTTCTATTCATGTGCTGCTGTACAGGTGCAAACATTGATTAATAAACACCATTTATAAAACAATTCAGCACTTAGTTTTAGAACTTTCACAAGCCATATAGGTACGTATATGGTTTATAAACTACAATTCTCCTTGACAAAAGACTGACTTGGATACTCGAGGATACTGCATCGAATAAACAGAGAACGCATCCTAAAAGCTCGAGCGGTATTAAAATTCTAATGTTGAACATCTTGTCAACCAGATGACTCGTCTTATTGGAAGGTTTGATGGGCGAGAAATTTATGTAGCAAGAGTCAGTTTGAGACTGTCAACCGATTTTTGAGGCAGGGCTAAGAAAATTCGTTTATTATTTTTGCGCCAGTTAACGGCCTCGAGCCAAACAATGATCCCGCCTTTTTTTACATTACTACGTGAGAAAAAGCACATGAAAACTCATTTGCGTGCGTAAGATAAAGAAACTAAACGACAATGTCGGAAAATGGAATAAATCCGCCTTCGGTAGCACGTAAATAGAGTGTCATTACTACGTGAAAAAAGCAGATGAAAACTCGTTTGCGTGCGTAACATAAAGAAACTAAATGACAATGTCGGAAAAAGTAATAATCCTGCCTTCGGTAGCACATAAATAGAGTGTCATTGCTACGTGAAAAAAAGCAGATGAAAACTCAGTTGTGTGTGTAAGAGGAAACTAAACAACAATGTCGGAAAACGCGAATACATCGATGAATGGAACACAGCCATCAAGCTGCTACAATCCTACAGCAGAAAAAATCGGAAAAACCTTCGCTTACTGCCTCATTCTTCTTGTTTCGTTGGCTGGGAACACATCCATCGTAATAATTGTCTACAAGACGAAAACCATGAGAAAATCCATCAACTTTTTAGTAGTAAATATGGCCATGTCCGATCTGCTGTATCCGATTTTCGTTATCCCTCGGATTGTAACAGAGTTGTACGTGGACTCCTGGTTGATCAGTGGTGTTCTTGGCCAGGCCATGTGTAAGCTTGTTCACTTCTTCCAAGATATCTCCGCTGTTGTATCTATCGAGAGCCTGGCTCTGATAGCAGTGGATCGATTTGGAGCTGTGGTGTTTCCTCTCCGTTGCCCTTTTATCAGTTCAAAGCTGTGCCCCTTCTTCATTCTCGCCACTTGGATCGTCGCGATGGCTATCCACTCTCCAGATGTCATGGTCTTCAAACTTGTTGAATCTCCGGGAGGACTGGCTTGTGCTACCAAGTGGAATGAAGTCTTTGGAGAGTCCTCATCCATAGCAAATTACTATCTGGCACTGACAGTTATAATATTTTACATCCCTTTGGTGTTGATAGCCATACTTTACGTTATCATCTATTATAAGCTGAAGGCACATACGATTCCAGGCGAGCAGTCAGTGGTCAGCGCTGCCGAGCAACAACGTGTGAAGCGAGAGCGGAATGTGCTAAATATGGCCATTGCTATTGTGTTGGGGTTTGTAGTTTGCTGGGTCCCTTTTAGTATTATTATCATACTATATTACTATGCATGGCCCAAAAGTTTTATTTGTGGTATGTACTATATTTCGTCTATTGCTAAGTTGATGTCTCGCGCAAATTGTGCAGTAAATCCATCCATCTGTTTTATGTTTAGTGGAAATTACCAGCAGGGACTTAAGAAGCTTTTCAGCTTTCGTTCTACAATTCAGCCGGCTCCTAATCAAGTCGGGGTTCAGCCGTTTCGGTCATAAATAGGGTATCGATTTTGGCCATTTTTGCCTAAGTAAGTAGGACCCTTCAGAAATTATGTTTACGGCAACAGTGTACGTGAGGGTCAGGCCATAAATAGGTTATCAAAATTTTGGTCAGGTCATAAATACGGAAGAGAAAATCGCAGATTTTGGTCATAAATAAGGTAAGGGTTTTGTGAAGCGGGCCGCACACCCCCACCCAATTTTTCTGATAGTCCTCCTCCCCCCTCTCGAGAATCTTTCCTAGCAGATGTACCTTTACCGCCCGCTGATATCTTGACGTTTCAATTATCTCTCCACGTGATCTGACATTGTCATACTAACAGCATTTTGACATGTATATCAATCGAAACGTCGCCTATTTGACAGTAGTCTTTGTTTCGTCCAGGTTTCTAGAGCAGCATTACAGAACTAGTACCTTTTTTTACATTTTAGCATCGTTTTGGATAATATTTCATTTANTGTTCCAGTCGCACGCTTCGGAACACTAGCGTGTTGTCTGACTGAACTACGCGGTAGTGTGTACTACCTGTATAAAACCCGTTCTTGACTACGCAAGACATCTTTGGCTGTGAAAAATGTAACATAACCGTTCGTTTTCATAGCGTGCGATTCTCTAAAATTACAGCATACTTGACGTATCATTAGTATTCGAAGACGTTCACGTCAGAAGTGGCTTCGTGCATTTCGTGTTCGAGTCGCAAACTCTCGAACAACTGGGTGTGTTCGAAAATGTTCGCGCCATAAATGACCACTATATCTTCGAAGAACATCTAATGCAACATTAATCTACCAAAACGTGGCCCGTGTGATTTATCGAACACTTCGAGTCATTCACGAGTATTCAATTTGAATACGGAAAAACAGGCCGGATTCTAATAGAATATTCCAGGTGTATTTCGAGTCAGCCATAATCGAATACGTCAGAACATTGCGGTATACGCGGCGTGCACCGATCCGTATTCGAGCGAATTCACGCCCGAATATTTGGCTTTTCGCACAGTGCGCCAGACAGAAAATAATTGGAGAGAGAAATATCTCATGAAATATGACGATCAGAAATGTCTGAGAACATGAACACAACCATAAATGGAACACAGTCATCGAGTTGCACTATCGATTCTACAGCACCAAAAATCGGAATAACCTTGGCTTGCAGTGTGATATTTGTTGTTTCCATTACGGGAAACACCTTGATTGGAGTAATTGTGTACAAGACGCCAACCATGAGAAAACCAATCAACTTTTTAATCGTAAACATGGCAATGTCTGATCTGCTGTATCCGATTTTCGCGATTCCTTCGTTGATACAAGGGCTCTTTAGAGGTCCCTGGTTGATCGGTGGTCCTCTTGGACAGGTCCTGTGTAAGCTGGTAATCTTTTCATCAGATGTCTCCCTGGTTGTGTCTATTCAGAGCCTTGTTTTGATAGCAGTGGATCGATTTGGAGCTGTGGTATATCCACTCCGTTCCCCACTCATCAGTTCAAAGCTGTGCCCGTTCTTCATTCTCGCCACTTGGATCGTCGCAATGGCTGTCAGCTCGCCATATCTCATGGTATTCAAACTTGTTGAATACCTAGGTGAGCAAGGGTGTGAGCGAATGTGGAATGAAGCCTTTGGAGAAAACTCGTCTTATGCAAATTATATTTTAGCAGTAGTTGTGGTATTCCTTTATACCCCTTTAGTGTTGATAGGTACACTTTACATTATCATCTATTTAAAGCTCAAGTCGCAAAAGATTCCAGGCGAGCAGTCTGACAATGCCCGACAACAACACCAGCAAAGGGAACGAAATGTGTTAAAGATGGCCGTCGCTATTGTCTTGGCGTTTGTAGTATGCTTTTTATCTACTAGTATTTCTATTTTTCTGTCGAGTCGCCTCGAATCGTTCACATTATCCTGTGGTTTCCAGTACTTCGCCCTTATTGCCAATCTTATGACTCACTCAAATTGTGCAATAAATCCTTGCATCTGTTTTATTTTCAGCGGAAATTATCGTCAAGGACTTGGGAATCTTTTTAGATAGGCTCGTAACAGATCATCCAGCAAGCAGAGTTAAATTTTAGGAACGTGTCGTTTGGATGCACCAACTAAAATCCAGTTCGCGTCAAGTATATATTGTCACTTGGTTCAACGGCCATTTTTTGATTCACTAATTTAGCCAAGAAGATTCAAACAGGAGAGAGTGGCTTCACTAAAAATAATATTTAGTTAACAATTTTGTATTAAAGACAGGAAGATCGCATATTACGTAGTTTTGATTGCTGCCGCAATACTTCTATAGAGTCGTCTAACAACTTGTAAACAATATCACTTAAAAACTTTATTCTAATTAATTCGATGATAGAGCGGTTTTCAATTGAGTGTCGTAAAACCAAAACCAAAACCAATTACTTACCAATTAGACTTCTCAGCTGATCTCAAACTGTATTAAAACCAAAACCAAAGCCAAAGTAATTGTCTAATTACTTTCGACACTCAACTGAAAAGCGCTCTAATCTAATTTTATAGGACGTTTTGTCTCCTCTAATATTGCAAATATCTATTTCAATCTGCTTTGTGTTTTATCCTATGGATTGAAAACCCAGCAGAACGCTTTGTAATTCTTTGAAAGCTGGTTTGCTATAGTTTTGTAGTTATTCTCTCAATGACCCAGGAAGCAATAAAATACGTAAAAGTGCAATTTAATAATAATAATATAATACAATAAACTCGTCCCTTTCCGGTTCCAAGGACCTTCGCTTGCATGCGAAGAGGCTCACCTTTGAGTCACTCGCGAGCAAAAGGGCAAAGCGATTCCGCGAAGAGGAGTCTGGTGCGGAAGCGCCAAGAAAGTCCAACTATGAGCCTGCTGACAGGCCAAGAGCAAGTTTATCTAGTTTTTCTTTCTCAATTTTACCAATCCACCATTCGCGCAATTTCGCATTTCACCATTCCACCACTCTTCCTTTCTACCATTTCATCATTTAACCATTCCACCATTCCATAATTCGAATATTCTACAATTTTACCCCGCAATTCCTCCATTGCACCATTCTACTATTGTACTTTTCCACCATTCCACATTTCCACTATCATAAATAAAATAAAATAAATTAAAATATTTAGAGAGGAAGTCCAGTCCACCGTTTTAGCATTTTAGCATTTTAGCATTTTAGCATTTTACCATTCTACCATTCTACCATTTTACCATTTCACCATTCTATCATTCCAGCATTCTACCATTTCTCCTTTCCTCCATTTCTCCATTTCTCCATTCCTCCCGTCCACTAGTCCACCAGTCCACCGTTCTTCGTTTTACCATTTTACCATTTTACCATTTCACCATTTCACCATTTCACCATTTCGCCATTCCACCATTTGTCCATTTGTCCATTTGTCCATTTCTCCATTTCGCCATTTCACCATTCCATCATTCCACCATTCTACCATTCTACCATTCCACCATTCCACCATTCCACCATTC